CTCTGCTTTTTGGTGATTACACTGATTAATAGTGCACATTTTGTGTAGGCGATATATATGTATGACATTGTCGGCAAAGAGGAGGGAAACGAAAGTAGCCATTTCTGGCTTATCAGCCGTCATCAGCCAGCCATACCCAACCCCAGGGGTTATGAACCCCGAGACTCGAACCCGCGACCTTGTTGGTTAGAAGTCCAACGCCCTAACCACTGCGTCAGGGGCTCGTTGCCTTGCCGCTTTTCGATCGAGAATATTAACCAAGTAAATGGGCGTTCACCGATCGATTACGCCAGTCATTCGTCTCGTTGTGTCTTGGGGCTCATTCCCCCAGCCCCACCAACAGCCGCACAGCAGCTAGTGATATAGGCAGAATGGCATTACCGAAGAAGATAAGAGAAACTGAAGTGGCAATTTCTGCCGTATTAGCCGTCATCAGTCAGCGATAACCAACTCTTTCGTTAGATGAGGTCTCGGTATGCATACTTCGGGCTGCGCACCCGTAAAAATACCGAATATAAAGGGTTGTGGCCACCTGCGTAAACGCAGGCTGGCGCTGCTACAGCCATCTATGCCCAATCCCCGGCTCAGACGATGCATTGGTGCTTGGGAGAGAGAAGCGAGACTGAGGTCCACTTTGGAGACTCCGTCCGCACCACTCTCTGTGCATGTTTGTCACTATAAACTACCTGACGCGCTTTTAAACCGCTACCGTGCGCCAAGGGCGTGACTCGAAAGGCTACCAACTGACGGAGTAAGCCAGTTCTCCTCTCAGGACGGAGGGTCGGGCTGTGATGGCTCCTTCTCAATGTGCCGTCTATGCGACTCTCATTCGGTTAAGATGCGAGCTGCCCCTTTTTTGTTTGTGTGAAATCACGGTGTTTTGTACGCCGACTAGGCGCGCGTGGCATTCGTAGATGAGCTGAGCCCGATCCTGCCTCCGACTTTATGTCTGTCACGACACTGGGTCTAGGTGTGTCGAGAGGAGGGAGTCTGTTAAATGCCGCGCAAGTAACCGTCCGCACCTCCTCCTGGTTGTGTTTACACGGTAAACATCGTCCTTCACTACAATTGAACTGTCTGGATATACAGGAAATGGCTCACTGACTGCAGTGTGCAGGCAGAGGGTTTCATAATCGTTTGTCATCGCCGTCGTACGGTTTCCCCATTGGTATTGGAAACACCTTTATTAAGCCAAATGCGCCAAATTTGTCCCTGTGCTCCGTCATCAATAAATAACCGTTAAACTACCTTCTTGCCTCTGTGATCCTCATCCAACCCCATAACTCCTTCCAATCACCACCCCTCATGGGAATCTTTTATTCACATTCGCCCAACAGAATCTAATTTTCATTTCTCTATCTGCTTCCAGTTTGGGACGTCAGAAATGGTTCCCAGCCCTGTGAAGTCTACTCAGTCCACGAACCTCTCCGCTCACAACTCTGCATGCTCTACGAAAGTGATGGAATCTTTGATAAATTTTTGTGCTCGTGGTCGGAAGACGATCGGTAAGTCGTTCTGCTCACCCTCCCCCGCCCCAATGATTACCTTGACCGGTCGGTTATCTCTCCGTAGGTCTCGCCTACGTCGAGCAAAATCTTAAACTCCTGTATAGCCTCGCCATGCGTTGCTTTAGGTGCTCTGTCTATGCTGTACATATACGGTTGTAGTAGTTTCCGGGACCTACGGACAAGCTTTCGCCTTCTCCCTCAGCTTCTGGCCTACGGAAGGCACTAGGTCTTA